TGACAGGCGTGCACCCCCAATCCTGGCTTGGAGACTGTTATTGGCTACCAGTGGACAATATTAAGTAGATGGCACAACAGTCCCTTTTCCCTGTGCCTGGCAGTGCCAGGGCGATGCCCTCCTGAGGCTCTGTCCTGTGCTGCTTAACCTTGCACTAAGCCCCAGGGTCCAGGGTCGCCCAGGGGCCTGGTGTTTATCCTTAGCTGGGATGGACGTGGAGATGGGGCAGGAAGGTGCGGTCCATGGGTCCTTGCTGCCAGGCTGGCCCAGGGCCCCTGACCTTGGCAGCCCCCAAGAATCATGGATGCAGGTCCTAGGTGTGGTCTGACAGCTCCCAACGTCAGGGCGCTCTGCCCTGTGTCTTGCTGTCCTGGGGGCCTCAGGAGGAGGTGGGGGCGGCAGCCTGGCGGGGACAGGCATGCTGTCTTGGGGCAGGCACGCTGTCCTTGTTCACATCTGGCGTCGGCCCCAGATCTCCTGAGAGAGAAGCTGAGAGCGGGACAGCTCCTGAGGATTGATGCCTCATGTGTGCTTCCGGGGCGCATACTTTGAGCCCAGGTCGCTGCTCATGCCTCTGAGCTGCTGGGGAGAGTCAGGCTGCCTCTCTGTCCTCCCGTGCTTGTCTGACAGGAAGCCGGCCGGCCGGCCGTATGGCTGCTGTGTTGCTTGGCAACAGCCAGTTGTCCTCAGCATTGGGTGACAGTGATGGAGTGGCTGCAAACGCCCACAGGCAGCGAGGTTGCCTCTTGGATCCAATTAATGGCTTGGTTATGGCCAGATCAGAAAGCCAAGTGATTGTTAATTGTTATTTTTATTTTATTTTTTGAGACAGGATCTTACCCTATAATTCGGGCAGTCCTTGAATCCACTGTGTAGTCCAGACTGGTCTCGAACTCACCATGATCCTCCTGCCTCAGCTTCTTGAGTGCTGGGGTTATAGGCGTGCACCACCATACCTGGTCAGAAAGCCAAACTTTTTGTTTCGGTTTATTTTGAGAAGCCAAAATCAATATTTATTTATTTTTATTTTTAGTTTTAGTGGAACCAGGGTTTGAACTCGGGCTTTTGCGCTTGCCAGGGAAGTGCTTATTCTACTGAGCCATCTCCCCGGCCCCTAAAATCAATATTTAAAAAATGCTAGGCAGCCAGGCATAATGGTATACGCCTGTTATCTCAGCAGTAGGAGGCTGAGGCAGGAGGATCAGTGTGAGTTCAAGGTCAGCTTGGTGTACACAACAAAACCCTGTCTCAGAAAACAAAAGAAATCTCTACCAACAAGCAGACCAAAAAAAAAAAAAAAACAAAAAAACAAAAAAACCCCCAAACAAAACAAAACAAAACAAAACAAAAAAAACCAAACAAACCACACACACAAACAAACTAGGTTTCTCTGATTTTGAAAACAGCCACAATTTTTAGAAACACCACGAATCAAAGGAAGGGTGCTGGGGTGGAGCCTGGGTGCAGACAGCGCAGCCCCAGCGCGCCACAGGTTATTGTGTGCCCCGGCCAACGGTTTGGAGCTGCTTGGTGATGAGGTTTAGGTTCCACCTCAGCTCTGGGCAGCAGGGCCGAGTTGCCACACTGTTGTAGGCCTTACTTTTGTCCCCTGGAGATTGTGTTTCCAGTTTATGCTCTCTGAAGTTCCTTGGAGCCTTCCTAAGTGCTCATTTGCTGTAATTCTCACTGAGAAAACTTCCCACCCCCAATTCCAGCGCTGAAGCCATGTCTTCCCACCCCAGGCCCAGGGTACCAGGCTTCCCACTGTACACACTGGCCACGGGCACCATGGCAGCGGGGTGCTCAGAATTTGGAAAGGAGACTGGGCATGGTGGCGCACGCCTGTAATCCCAGCTTTTGAGAGGCTGTAAACAGGTGGATCACTACGAGTCCCATCTAATAGTGAGATCATGAACACCCTGTAGACCCTTCCCTAAAATACAAAATAAATAAATAAGAATTTGAAAAGGCTGCTTTTGCGGAATACACACCCCGAGTGCACACGTTGCGCTGCACAAGAGTCCTGCAGAAATAAGACATGGGCCTGGGCCTTCCCAGGTCCCCTCGGCTCCGCACTCCATGTTCACACAGCCTCCTCCAACAGGTGCATGCCTGTAATCCCAGCACTGGGGAGGCTGAGGCAGGAGGGTCATTGTGAGTTCAAGACCAGCTTGGACTATAAAGTGAGCTCAAGGCCAGTCTGAACTGCATAGTGAGACCCCATCTTGAAAAGCCCAAAAAAAAAAGGAGTCTTTGCAGGCTGGTCGGCCCTTGTCCCTTCTGTTGATGGTCATCTAGGATTTGGAGGGCGTGCGGCAATGTGTGAGGATGGTCATAGTCCACAGTCCTTTCTGAGCCACAGAGCCAAGTTCAGAGTCATTGGTTTGCCGCTGAGGCTGAGCCAGTCCCCCAAGGTTCATCCCACTTGCCTTGTGTCTTTTTTTTTTTTTTTTTTTTTGAGTCAGGGTCTCACTGTGTAGTGCAGGCTGGCGTTGAACTCATGGTGATCCTCATGCCTCAGCCTCCCGAGTTCTGGGATAAGAGATGTGGACCACTGTGCCCGGCTCCATCTGACGTCTGCTGCCCCAGGTCTGGTCAGTCTTTCCCTTTCCTGTTGGTCTCTAGCAGAGGTCAGGGCTCCATGCCACCCCATGACGTCACCTCTGTCTTGGAGAATTCTCAGTGATGGGGGGACGTTGTGTCAGCTGGGCCTGAGTTTGCTGGTGGAGTTGTTCAGGCATTTCTGGGATGGAGGATTTACCCTTCTGGCTGGTTTTCATGGGGGAGTGTGGCCTCTTACCTTTGTGGCGCTGCCCCTAGAATGGGTTGGGTCTGAGGCAAGGCGACGCTTCACACTGTGGCTCCTTATGTCAGGAGTGAAAATAACTCCTGTCAGATGATGCGTGGTCGGGCTGAGAGGGAGAAAGCGTCTGCTGTTATCCAGGGAGCCGCTCAGGCGCTTCCGCCCACCCTGGAAAGCCCAGCCAGGGATGCAGGCTGGGCGACCACTGTCCCCAGGGGTCCCTGTGTCCACTGGGGCCGCCCGAGGTGGTGGGCCAGCTTGAGGTCCCTGGGGCTATATACTCAGGGGTGTCAGGGTGGATGGAGCTGGCTTCGGGCCCGAGTTGGTGTCAGTGCCAGGTTCTGCAGGTCAAGGGGGCTGACAGACAGTGCAGTGAGTCACGCTGCGCACTTGCTTCTGTTGTTTACATTTCTGAAAATTTTCTTGTGCACATTTGCCAATAAAACATACTGTTAAAAAAAGAAAAAGCATGCTGCACAGAATGGTGGCCACCTCCAAAATCTCTTGACCCTCTTCTCTTTGGCAAAACATCTGTCTCCCGCCTCCTATCACCTGTCTTTTTTTCTGCCCTTCATTTGTACATCGGTATCCTGTCCTCATTAAGCTTGGGTCTGATTGCTGTCACTGTGGTCTCAAGCCTCATTTTCCCTCCAGTGACTCCTGCTTGTCTTTCTCTAGGGCAGAGTCGTAGCCCCCATGTGTGGCCCCAAATGCCTTTACCCCTGACCGTTGTCCCCCAAGCCTCCTGGATCGTGGTCACAGTGTCATTTCTGTGGGCTTTCTGTGGGCCTGGCCCTGCAGGAGGCCCCAGCGCCTGCTGGCTTCTTCTCCGTGGTGACCCAGGGTGCTTGTATCGCCCACAGCTCTGGAAATGGCCTCAAGCTCCGTCTTCTCCCAGCTCAGTGTGGCTGTCTTTGCAGGGTGCTGGCCATGCTTTGGATCACAGCGTGACCCTGCAGTCTGTTCTGTCTGTCACTATGGGGGAGGGGAGGGACTGGAAAACAGCAACTAGGTGTGTGGCAAGGCCCTAGGGCCCACGCTCGAGGGTGCTGTGCAGCTCCGGCTGTGCTGGTGGTGCTCCTGGGCAGGGTTCATAGTCTCAGGCAATGAGGTGGCCAGGCTGAAATGAAGCTGCAGCAGAGTACTGGTTCTGTTTGATTGATCAGTTGATTGAGACAGTCCCCATGTGTAACCCAGGCTGGCCTGGAGCTTGCAGCCATCCTTGTGCCTCAGCCTCCCAGATGCTGGGATCACAGGGGGCCCCACTCACCAGGGCAGGACCTTGCACTTGCCAGGCAGGTGCTTAAGCTGTTGAGCTATTATCCCTGGCTTTTTTTTTTTTTTGTCTTTGAGACAGGGTCTTGCTGTGCAGTTCAGCTGGCCTTGAGTTCACTTTGTAGCCCAGGCTGGTCTTAAACTCGCAATTATCATCCTGCCTCAGCCTCCTGAGGCTGCAGTGACAAGTGTGGGCCACATAAATTTATTTATTTTTTTTTGTGTGTGTGTGGCACTGGGATGGAGCCACACACACACACTGAGCTATGGCTGCCACCCTCTGGAAATGCTTTCTTTTTAAAATTTTGAGGCAGATAAATTGGCCGGATTGGGCTTGAACTTGTGCTCCTCACCTCAGCCTTCCGAGAGCTGAGATGACAGGTGTGCACCACATGGCACTGGGCTTACTGTAAAGGTTTTTAAAGTCCGGGGATGTCATTGTTGATTGTCAAGGACCCCAGGGACCTGAGACTGGGTTGACAGCCTGTCAGCAAGTGTCCTCCCAAAGCTGCCTATGCCACTTGAGTCTTAAAAAAATCCCTGCCACCCATGGGTGGGAAGGGCAGCCTGGGGGTGCAGTGGAAACCCCAGGCTACTGGCTTCTTCTGTTGTACCCCTGGCTTCTTGCTATGGTAGAACTGGAGGTGGCTGAGGGAGAGGGTATCTGGGCAAGCTGTACTCTAGCCAGGGCTGTCTGCCTCAGTTTACCCAGCAGGGCCAGGAGGGAGGTGGACATAGGGAGCTCACAGCCCCAGGCCCCTGCTGAGCTGAGTTCACCCTGGCACCCTGGCCTCCCTTAGCTCGTTCTACTTGTGTATGTGTGTGTGCATGTGTACGTGTGCATGTGTGTATGTATACGTGCACATGTGTACATGCATGTGCCCTGGCCGCGGACACTGACCTGCTCTCTGTTTTCTTGCAGCTCCTGTGCCCAGGCCAGGGTGAGTACCGCGCTCTGCTCCCCATCCCCGCCCCTGCCAGCCTGAGTGGGCATATAAGAGCGGCAGCAAATGAGACAGAGTCACAGGAAAGATGGGGGGCAGAAACCCCCATTCTCTGCCAGTCCTTTACAAGTGGGGTGGGGGTGGGGAACAGCTAGTGAAGGGAAAAAGGCAGTGAGGGCTGCATTCCTGGTGTCTTGGCTGCTTTTCTCTTGTTGCTGAGCCAAAATACCTGACACCCAAGGTTAAGGGAAGAAGGGTTTGTTTAGCTCACAGTTTGCAGACATTTCAGTCCGTAATCACTTGGCTCCAAGGCAGGGTGGCGTCACAGGGCAGCACTTCGAGGAGGCAGAAGACAGCAAAAGCAGGTAGAGCAGAAGCGGGGAGAGCAGGCCTCTTTCCCTCCCTTAGAGTGTCAGCAGGCCACCCCCAAGGCGGGGGAGGGGGAGCTCTCCTGGACCCTGGCCTCCTGCTGAGTCACTGGGTGAAACTTTTGAACTTCAGTTGACACAGCGCACCACCTCCTGGAGCAGTAAGGGCATGTTGCCTACATCGTAGGGTGGAGAACTGCTGAGTGGCTCTTTAAGCTTCTGGACTTCTGAGGTTAACACAGTGTATCAGCCACTACACCTGATGGGAAATTGGTATTTTCTAAGCACTCACCTGTAGTCCCAGCTACTTGTGATGGAGTTTGGAGCCCACTTGGGCAACGTGAAGAAAACCTTGTCTTCAAAAACAATGATTTTTCAGAATCGGACACCTCAGTGTGTGCCTGGTGCCCCAGCACTAAGAGGCTGAGGCAGGGTTGCCATGAGTTGGAGGCTGCCCTGGGCTATAGAGAGACTTTAAGGCCAACCTGAGCTACATACCAAGACCAAAAAGCAATTTTTTTTTCTTTCTGGTGACTTCTATAATGAAACAACCATAGGCTATTGAATATTTTATGTGTTGTTTCCCCCACGTATTTGCTTCTTGCGCTGTTCTGGTGTTGATGCCCTGCTCCATTAAATCAGTGATACAGATCCTATGTCTCCGAACCTCTCGAGACCTGGAAGTGCCCTCGCGCTTCTTTTGCTTTCATTTGTAGGGCTGAGCTGGGGTGTAGCCCCGGGCTAGAGCTCTTGCCTGCTGTGGGCCTGTGGCCTCCGGATCCTAAAGACAAAATGTGGCTCTCAGACATGTGACGTAGAAGGCTAAGTTCAGGGTCCTGGCTGGAGCTAGTTCTTCCCTGATCTTATGAGAAAAGGAGGAAAAATAAGTACGGAATAGTAAGTTTTTGGTGTATCTTAATATCCAGCATTCATTTGAAAATGCTGTCCTGTCCCGCATTATGACCTTATAATTATCGTTGGTCATAAGATGTTTCTGGAAGCCATAAAGATGATAGTAGTTATAGTTTTATTTTTCTTTTTTTAAACAAGGTCTCATTGTATAGGTCAAGCTGGTCATGAACTTGAAGTGATCCTCCTGCCTCAGTCTCCTGAGTGCTGGGGTGGTAGACATGCATTATGATACCTGGCTTTAAATAGTTTTTTTTTTTTTTAAGTATTATTATTTTTTTTTAGTGGAAAATGATAGCTGTTAGCCGACCAAATAGCTCAGTGGGGCCGGAGGTTCGCTCCCTGGGCCTGCAGTGCCAGCCCTGCCCCTGGGGTATGCCCAGATGGCAATTGAGACTGGGCATGATGGTGTGTGCCTGTAATCCCAGCTCTTGGGAGGCTGTAAACAGGCGGTTTACTACAAGTCCGATTTACACAGTGAGACCCTGAACACCCTGTAGACCCTCCCCCCCCCCACAATGGTAGCTGTTGATTGTCCCTAAAATTGGGGAACATCTTGTTTTCTGCTTGGAAAAATTTTGAATTTCGTGAAACACACTGCTAAAATGGATGGTACTCAACAGTGCCCGCCACAGGGGCAGGTCTTGCTGACACTGCCTAATGAAGCAGATTTCAGTAATAACAGTGATTATCAGAGCCCTGCAGACAGCGGTGGGGGAGTTGTGCGGCTGGAGTTCCTCCTGGCCTGGCTAGGGAAAGGATGCTGAGGTCCATGCAGCCTCTAACACGGTCTCCTCCCGGGCGCACCACGGGGTCATCGAGGTTAGGTGGGACAGGGGAGCAGGGGCTGGAATCGGAGCTGCTGAGACCCAGAGCTCAGGGCCGTGGAGCTCACGGAGCAGGGCTCCGAAGGAAGGTGCCTGCTGTGCAGGGGGTAGGGGGAGCAGTTGTGGCTTCCCAGCCACTCTTCCTGGCCTGCAGGTGGTGCTCTGCCTGGGCCTGACCCTTTTTAGCTGGACAGCTGTCTGATCTGAGACCCTGGCACACACAGTCACAATGAGTGCAGGATTAGGACTTCAGCATGTGTACCTGGGGGCATAATTCAGCTCATAAACTCAGAACAGGATTTTGCTCAGCTCTCAGAACTGACTCCCACACTGAGGCCGCAGAGCTAACCCACCTGGCCCGTCACTCTGCACACCCTGTTTGCCCTGACGGGCAGAGTGAGGAATCGGGTAGCCTTGGCTTGTGCTGCTGGATCCAGGAGGCTGTGTTGTGGGCTGTCATCCTAGGACCAGGAAGCCGCCACCTACCCCCAGCAGCAGCACTGTGCTGGTTCTGGAGCCAGGCAGCCTGAGCTCCAGCCATCACATCCACGTTCCAGTTCTAGGAAGATGCAGGGCCCCAGGCAGAGCTCCACCCTTCAGGCTCAACTTCCTGGCAGCTACAGGGCTTCTCCCAGTCCCCACATCCATTAGCTACAGCTGAGTCACGTAGCTCCCTGTAGCTGCAAGGGAGGCTGGGGAATGGCAGCTTGGTTCCCCGTAGCAGTGTAGGTTGTACGAAGTCTGGGAACGTGGGATGTATTTTTGGGTCACCAGTGGCCTGCATAAAGACAGACTCAGGGGGCTTAGTACTACACCAGGAGAAGGCAGCCGGCAGGGGACGGGGTCTCCAGAGCCGGCCTTGACCCGGTGCCCTTGGCTCCTGTTTTATCTTGGACTGGCTTTTCGCGGAGGTGCAGTCTTGTGGCCCTGCGCTCTCGCTGTGGCTGGAGGCCGCAGTTTCCGAGGTGCTGAGCAGGGTCCCCGGGTGGTTTCGGTGCAAGTGCGGGGTGACACAGGCCCTTCCCCTCCTGGTCTCCCCACAGCCCTCAGCTCAGCGCCCAGCGTCCTGTTCACCACGGCGAACATCAGCACACCGGTGATGACCACAGCGTGGGGCAGCGACAGCCCTGCGACCTCAGAGGATGTCACGACCCGGGCGGGAACTACAGAGCTCAGCCCGACGCCCACGGGGCCCAGCGCTTCTCCCACTCTGTCTACCACGCTGCCCGGTGATCCTGAAGGGACGTCGTCGCCATCGCCCATGCCTGGAGGGCTGGGTGAGCAGTGGGCGTCGTCACCCAGCTGCGTTGTGATGCCCACGTAGTGTCTTCTTTTTTTTTTTTTAGTGTCTTCTTTAAGGGGCCTAAAAACAAACCCTAAGAAATGTTCTTGACGACAGTAACAGGTAGTCATAATATCAAGTATGTGCCATTGCAGAGAAACGGTTGGTAAGCTGTCAAGGAGAGAGCCGCGGGTACCGCGTAGCTGGAGGTGGCGTCCAGTGCTTGCAAAGCCAGCACTCTGGGAGGCTGAGGCAGGAGGAGTTCAAGTTAGAGCCCAGCTGGGCAACTTCACAACTTAGTGAGACCTTGTCTGGAAAAACAACAACAACAAACAAAAAAACCCCAAAAACCAAACAAAACCAAACAAAAAACCCTTAACAAAAACCAAAAACAATAACAAAAAAAACTGATAAGTTTTAATGTATGTTATTTTATTAGTTTAAGATACACACACAAAAAGATACACATCAACGCTCTTACAAGCATTGAGGTCATGCTGTACATGGGTTTTTGCAATCTGCCTTCTTCTCACTACCTCGTTTAACCTGACTGTTTTTCTCTGTCAATACGAATATTTTTTACAGTGTAACGTTAACCCATGTCAGGTCTTCTATTGTCTGAATTTTAATAGGTAGCTAATAATGGCCCAGGTCCTAAGCCGGCCTGCTGTGTGTATTGTAGATGAAGTTTTATTGGAGTAGGGCCACAATTGTCTGCCGTCTGTGGCTGCATTCGCATTAGAATTGAATAAGGACAGCAGAGAAATTTATGACTTATAAAAGCCTGAAATACTTGTTTAAAAAAGTCCCTTCAGACCCCTGGGCTAGAGTGGTGGCTCCTTTGGTCTGGGGGTCTCTGGACGTCCCCGTTTTAAGGACTCTGAGAGCGTCGTCATTAGTGCAGTAACACTGAAATGTTCTCTATTTCCTCATCACTGGTACTCTGATGACTAATAAATGTGTATTTGTAATGTTTAAAAATTTTCCTTATTTATTTGTAATGCAGTTAATATTGATAAACATAACCTATATAAGCAGAAGTTCTCTGAGATCCTTAATGGTTTTTTTAAGAGGACAAAGGGGCCCTTAGACACAAAATTTTTAAACTGTCTAGAGGTCTTGTGGAATCATTTAACCCCTCAAATGTTGGGCAGGTAGATTATTTTTATGATTTTTCATGAACAGTTTTTCAATGCAGTCATTTTGTTAGCTCAGGAGGGCAATATCAGGTCAACTGACAGAATAATCACTGAATATTGCTAGGGTAATAAAATAGGAATTCCTAGCGTGGTAAGTAACGTTCACTGATGTTGGTTTTTCAAACGCATGGTCCCGGGCTTAGGGCGCCTCCTAGTGGCGGAGCGGCCACACTGGGCTCAGTGGGCTGCCCACTACCTTCCTTGCTTCTTGGGCTTGCTGCTGGTGTCTGGCAGTTGTGTCCCAAATTTTCTGATCCAGGACATTATGGGGCCAAAGAGGAAAGTGATCGATGATGTAGAGTGTGCCTAAGGAGAGTCACATGGAGAGAAAACATTCTCTCAAGCTTTCACAGAGAGCACATTAGCCAAGCAATGGCCATGACTCATCCACATGGCTGACACTGACAAAGGATCTACTATCTGAGGTACAGGATCTCAAGATAAATCCTGAGGGGATTTCACTGACCTTATCAGATCCAAAAGCTACAATTCTTGTTACATAGGTCTTGCTTTATCTTGGTCTTAACATCCAGCAGAAAAGTATAAAAACGAAGTATAAGAAGTAAAGCCAAAAAAAAAAAAAAAAAAAAGTAAAGCCATGGGGTTATGTTGAGCTATAGGGGACTCAGGTCAAGAACTTCTGAGATTGCCGGTCAAGTGGAAGACCCAATACTATTATGGACTACTGGACTATTTTGGAATATTTTGCTGAGTTCACATACCTATAATATTTAAATGACAGAACTAAACAAAAAAAGGGCATATAGTTGAATGACCCATTTTTAAAATTTTTGTGTGTGTGTGTGTGTGTGTGTGTGTGGCCAGCTCAGCCCACCAGGGGGCGGGGCTGGCTGGCATGTGGTGCTGGGGGATTGAACCGCGGTCCCTGTGCTTTGCTAAGCTTGTTCTAAGTAGGTACTTTAGACCACTGAGCCATCTCACCAGCCCCTGAATGACCATTTTGTATCTGTGTATTCAGAATGGTTAGGATAGATATATAGCTGCATTCTCTTAATTCAGTGAATAGAGGGATTTGTTGTAATAGTGTTTGAAAATAGGATATCATGTCTGTATCTTGTACAACAAATAAGCACTAGGAAGACAGTGTGCAATGTGTTAATTATTGAAACTGTCCTTCCAGTTTGATTTGAAACTGTCTCATTGCTATTTGTTTCTCAATAAAATTATGGGAAAACCCCAAAACCAGTCGGCAGAGACTATAGGGCCCCGCTCCTCCACAGGGAGGACCACAGGGTGTGCTCACCAAGGTCAGGAATAATCAGGACGTGAGAGAAAGCAAAGACAGTTTCAGTACTGAGCCCCAGGACCTGGGGACTGTGAGCTCGTGGACCAAGAATCCCAAACACACCCCCCAGAGAGGCCGCTGGGCATCAGGACAGCACAGAGGGCCACTGCAGGAAATAGTAGGGCAGTGAGTGACTGGAAATGAAAACCGTAACAAAGACACTGAAATAGCAAAAGCAGAAACCCTACAGAAACCCTGGGGCTGAGAAATAAGGGTTCCGGGCTCTTGCGTCGCCTGTGTGCAATCTCTGCTCACGCCCAGATGGTGTTGCTGCGCAGTCTTTATCCTTTTGTGCTTAATTCCAGGCTCCTTGTGAATGAGGGCCGGATTGCCTGTGTTTTCTTTTCTTTCTGCCTGCCGCTCCTCAAGCTTGAGTTTGATTGCCGAACAAGCATCTGTTCGGTAGTTTTACTGCTAGAAACCAGAATGCCTTTCATAGGTTTAAGGTTCTCTATTTTTGTTACTGATGTTTCTTTGTTTGGTTTTTGAGACAGGGACTCGCTGTGTAGTCCAAGCTGGCCTTGAACTCAGAGTATCCTGCCTCAGCCTCCTGAGTGCTAGGGTCACAGGTGTGCCCCACCCTGGCTGGCTGGTTTAAGATCTTACACAGCTGAAGTTTTACCAATGATGAGACTGCAACTCTGAGAGATGAGAGACTTCGAGTACTATGACAAGAATAGTGACTACTAGGTTTGGAGACTGAACCTAGACTTAAAAATCTCTAGGCCAGGCATGGTGGCACACACCTCCGGGAGGCTGAGGAAGGAGGGCCGCAAGTTTGAGCCCAGCCTGGGCAGCTCAGTGAGATCTTTTCTTAAAAACGGTCTGGGATGTAGCTCAGTGCAGAGGCCCTGGGTTTAAGCCCCAGGACTGCCAAACTAAACCAGACCTGGCGATTTTGCTTTTCACATTGCAGGGGCTTGATAGCACTCATTTATGTGTGGCTTGGTATGTCAGGGGAACTTGGGATTCAGTGGAGGAGCTGGACTCTGAGAGCTTTTAAGGGACAAATCCAGGTCACCTGCTCATGCGTGGAACAGGCTTTTGGGAAAGACTTGGGTTCCCGGGGCATCCTTGTCTTGTCTCATGATTGTAAAGTTATTTCTGGAAAAGCAGACATACAGAGCAGATTTTCCTTGTATGTTTATTATTTTCAATGTTTCTTGGAAACAACATTTGAATAGCACCGGGGGCTTTGGAGGGCACTTAAGAGCTTTCTGTCGGTCCAACCGGTGTGCCCCTGAGTTGGACAAATGCAAACCAAGCTGCTTGTGGGCTCTGGTGTAGGATAGAGAATGACATGGGCCACCCGCGGACCATCAGTAAGCACACCTTGTCCCACATCACAGGTCTGCACCTGACGACCCCATACACAGTCTCTGTATCTCCAGGGAGAGACAACCAGTCCTGGGAGGGGCCCACTTCCACAAGTGTCACAACAGGTAAGGTAATTGGCTCGCAGCCATGGCCACAAACCATTTCCTAGTATCCTGTGTCCTGGAGCCTTGTCCCTCCTGTTGCCTGTTGGATCAGGGGGCCAAATCCCTTAGTATTGTTGGTTTTTGAGACGGGCTGGCTATGTAGCCCAGTCTGGCCTTGAACTCATGGAGATGCTCCTGCCTCTGCCTCTGAGGTGCTGAGATTAAGGGTGTGTGCCGGTAAATACAGCTAGAAGTTTTCCCTGTTTCTACTTTTTTAAAGATTGTTTGTGACTCACGGCTCACATACCTTCTCTACAGCACTCCTGCTGTGACGCTCCTTAACAGAGCTCTGATGACACCAGCAGTCCCTTGTCTTCTCGGCTCCTGGGGAAACTGAGGCTGGGCCTGTTTTCCCAGGGGCTTTGTTGGGCACAGAGCGGGCTGTGCTTTTCGGGCAGTGTGTGTTTCCAGTGTGGTAGCAGCCTTGTCACATTTGGACTTTAAGGCCAGAGAGCTTAGATTGTGTAGCTGCAAGTGTAGCCTTTTCTATTTTATAGGCTGATAAACAGTAAAAATTAAAAAACTAGTGCCCAACAGCTGAGCTGTTGTTGTTAAGGCAGGAAGAAAATACAGGTCCTCTGGTGGTTTCCTGGAGAGAGAGAGAGAGAGAGAGAGAGAGAGAGAGAGAGAGAGAGAGAGAGAGGTGAATGTGTGTCATCTTTCTGGCTGGTAGAGGTCACAGAAGCCTGGCTGTGCATCTCATGGCTTGGAGTGAGGTAGGCCCAGCATATCGTCTCTTTGAGACCACAGAGTTTTGACGTTGGTTTTTCTGTAGTCAGGAAACTATTTTGTTAAAATATTGCTGAGCAGCCCAACAAGTAAAACAACAGCAGCAACAGTAGCGGCTACACTGTGATGACACATGGGCACATCGCAGTAGTGGTAGAGAGCTTGCTTGGCGTGCGGGAGTCCTCAGCTGTCAGAGCAAGCCACACCAAAGCAAGCCACCACGTAAGAGGCATGTGCGAGTGGTTTGATTTAGAAATCTTGCATCAGAGATATTTGATGTGGGAAATCAAAGCACAGAACAGATCACCCCGTTGGGATGAGAGAGGACCAGTTGCCAGAGGAGGGAGATGGCCCAACCTGGGCAGGGCAGCACATGCCGGTCACCTCAGCACTTGGAGGGGGAGGCAGGAGGATCACTGTGAGTTTGAGGCCTGGCTGGGCTGCATAGCAAGACCTACATCCTGTGTCAAAAAAAAAAAGGGCTGGGGATATATCTTGGCGGTCTAAGCGCCTGCCTGGCAAGTGTAAGGACCCAGGTTCGATCCCTGGTACCACATGCTGAGCTGGCCACTGCAACCAGGCATGGTGGCGCACGCCTTTTTTTTACAGGTTAGGTGGTGCTGGGGTTTTCCTGTTCAGTCCCCCATAGACCTTGGGCAGGGCTCTGTCTGTCCATTGTCTCTCCGTCTCCGATGCCCCTGTGCTTCCTGTGTTTGGGGCCAGCAGCTGAGGCTCTGGTCCCCACTGCCAGCAGGAGCATGTGCCCCTGAGCAAGCCACCTGCTGCTCTGGTCCCCTCTCGAGTGTCTCTTCGGCTGAAGTGCCTTGATCTACTCCGTACCAGCCGATGGAGATAACAGCGGCAAGGGCCGGGGCACAGTGCTGGGGGCAGCATCCCAAGAATCGCCTAGGACTGGAGCACAGCGCCGAGTACCTCGGTGGTGGAGTCTCGGTCCTTTAAGATGCTGCTTTGGTCCAGCCTGGAGGGAAGACCCCAGAGTCAGCAGACAGGCATTCCCCTTACTACCCTGCTCTTGATGTCTAGGGCAGCTGTGATGAAAGGCTGCGGTTTAAGGGGACATGTAATAAGGCAGGGCTGAGGGCCCCGTTGGGGTTCATCTTGAAGAACTGCACAGGCCCTAAGTGATTTTGGTGTTAGGGTTTACTCCTTCCACATTATTCTTCCTGTTCCCCCTGCTGGGAGTGATGGAGACGGACAGGTTGGACTTGGGTATAAAGGGTCCATCCTAGTGGGGCGCATGGAATCGGGTTGGTTTAATGGGAGGAGCCTGCAGACGCCGAGCCCTGGCATGTCCCTGTGTGTCCATCCACAGAGCCTCTTCCAGTGTCCGGCCTGAGCGTGGCCTTCATGGGGGAGACGCAGGTCATCCTCACCTGGCGTAGTGACAATGACAACGTGTCCTGCCGGCTTCTTCTTGAAAGTCTCGGAAGTCAGGAGCTGTGGACCAACATTTCAGGCCTGATGCCTGGATTTTGGCGAGTCACCCTCGATCTTTTGCAGTCAAATGAGACACAGAACAAAGCTTTGGATCTGGAAGGGGGCTCAGGTGAGTTACAAAATCTGCTTTCCTCAAACTTAATAGTTACAAGGGTCAGGGATATAGCTCGGGGGCATAGTGCCTGCCTGGCAAGCTCAAGGTCCTGAGTTTGATTCTTGGTACCAAAAAAAAAAAAAAAAAAAAAAAGGTTGCAAAAAATAACATGCTTCTGTTGTGTAGGGTTTTAGGCTCAGTAGGGGGCTTTCCCTCCAGCTGGTTTGGTCCCATGCTCATTTCTAAAAGGAAAGGGGGTATTTTATTTTACTGGTGGATGCACTAGGACTCAGGAGGGTACTGGGTCTTGAAACTTAGTTGAGCACCCCAGAAAGTGAAAGCAGATGGGCCCTGGAGCTTTTGATTTTCCAGTTGGGTGCACAGTGTGGGATGGGGGGCAGGGAGGAACTCGCCCGTCCCTGGAGAGCAGGGGCGCCCAGCGGCACACCCAGTGAGCTCTGCGCAGCTTTCGCAGGGGACATGGACTCGTCCTTGCTTCACACCCAAGGAAATGAAGCTCCTGGGTGGGTGCTGCGGGTCTTGGCGGCGAGTAGCACACAGGAGCCAGACTTCAGGTGGCTTCAGCTAAAGGGACAGTGCGTGGCGAGTGCACATTTCTCCACTCTGGACGGCGTGGCCTTAAGGGACAGAGGTGGGGCGATCTCAGCCCTCCTCCTGCTCTTCTCTGTATCAGCTCCATCCACACAGCTGAGGTAGAAGTGGCCACTGGCTATGCCCCTGTCACACCTCGCCTCTCCCCTGCTGCTTGCAGTGTGGTCCAAGGGAAACCAGGTCTGAAGCAGGGAGCTATCTCTGGGACACCCCGTTGGGATGAGAGAGGACCAGGTGCCAGAGGAGGGAGATGGCCCAACCTGGGCAGGGCAGCACACGCCTGTCACCTCAGCACTTGGAGGGGGAGGCAGGAGGATCACTGTGAGTTTGAGGCCTGGCTGGGCTGCATAGCAAGACCTACATCCTGTGTAAAAAAAAAAAAGGGCTGGGGATATATCTTGGCGGTCTAAGTGCCTGCCTGGCAAGTGTAAGGACCCAGGTTTGATCCCTGGTACCACATGCTGAGCTGGCCACTGCAACCAGGCATGGTGGCGCACCCCTGTAATCCCAGTACTGGAGAGGCTGAGACAGGAGGATCGCTATGAGTCTGAGCTGTGTAGAGACACTCTGTACCAAATAATTAAATAAATGATCAAAACAATAAAGTTAAAACAAAACTTAAAAAAAACCCCACCAAAAAATGCCTCCAAAAAACCCGAAAACCAAAAAACATAAAAAGGTCCAGAACAGCAAGAGTGGAGAGAGGCACAGAGTGTCCTTGATGCTTCCGGGACTGCAGCACAAAGCGAGAAGCCGGGGCCATTTCAGGCGACCAGATCGCTGTCTGGGGGCGGCAGGGAACAGATATTTGTGGAGTGGCAGCCGTGGGATGTGTCGCCTTACAGGGTGGGGGCGCTGAAGGGAGCATATGTTTTTCTGTGTGGCTAATGTCCTCCCCTCCTCGCTGGACACAGGTGCCTGCGGTGCAGCGAGCAGCCCTTCGGGGAGCCCCTCTGTCCCCGCGGAGCTGATCTGGTATCACTTTGAACACACAGGCCCGGCTTCTGGCCCGGAGACCCGAGACACGGAAGTCCTGATCACAGGGTTGAAGAGGGACGCGCAGTACAGAGCCACCGTTTACCCTCAGGCGGCGGATGGCACGGAGGGAGCCCCCTGCAACCTCGAGTTCAGAACAAGTAGGTGCACCCTGCTGCGAGGGCTGCGCCAGCGCTGGGCGCAGGCCGCGCCTTCTGTGATTCTGTGCGTGAGCTGTTGGCAGCCAGCTCTGTTGTCGGGAGAGATCCTGGACAGCACAGGCCCAGGCACCCCTTTGGCTGCAGGCTGCAGCTCAGGGACATGGTGGGGGAGCCAGAGAGGTAACTGGCGCAGCGTCGAATCGTTGGCTAACTTTTCCTCCCTCAGGATAAGAAAACCAGCATCCCTTTTGGGCCTGTGCAGGAAATCCCTGCTTCTCTTTCTGTCACGCTTGCTCGGTGATGATTTCTAACTGTGACTCATCTTCCTAAAGCCCGAGGTGTCTCGGTTGCTGTCCTATCACTGTGACACACCCACGACTTCAGTCATGGCTGGCTGGCTTCAAAGCAGACTAGGGTGGCAGGAGGAAGCAGGGAGAGGAAGAAGGAAGGACAGGGACGGGAGCAAATCCTGCCAGGTCACAGCCAGTCCCTCTCCAGCTGGGCCTCCTCCTCTGGGCTGGTGCAGCTGCGAGCTTGCTGATGAGTGTGGGACCCGCGATCCCAAGTGCTCCGCACACCGGAGACTTGGATCTGTGCTATAACCAGAGGCTTTTTGCCTGGTCCTGATGGGAAGGTAAGGAAATATGGGGTTGCTGCTCCTGGGAGCTGCTGTGGGGGTAGGGAGCGCAGCCCCGTGAGCTCAGACACAAGGGTCTCGGGGTCACCACCCTGGGGGCTGGCGATGTGATCCAAGCGGGAGCATCTTACCCAGTGCTAGGTGTGTGTAGCAGGGTGGGCGTGGGCTCAGGGACTGAGGGGCTGAGGTTTGAGGCTGGCAGAGCAGAGACAGAAGACAGTTCTGCACCCAGGAGACTCAGCAGGCTGGACCACATTGATCTAGTGACAGCCTCAGGTTCAGAGTCTCTGGAGACTGGGACATGCTGCTGACTGGGTGGCTATGCCTGGGGAGGGAAGTGCTGTCCTCCCAGAAGCTGTGAGTGACAGCAGTTCCTTCCACTCAGGAGCTTACAAGCAATGTAGGAGGCTGAGGCAGGAGGATTGCAAACTCAAGCCCAGCTTGGGCCTATTGATTTAGTGAGCCTGTCTCAAAATAAAAAATAAAAAGGGGTTGGCATGGAGCTCTGTGTCTGAGCCAGGAGGGAAGCCTAGGGTACCAGGCCCTGGATGCTGAAGCCTCGAACTAGGATGAGGGAATGCAGGGTAAGGAGGGCAGTGGATTGGGTGACACCTTGAGGACCCAAATCCAGAGGGCTGGATTTTTAAGGATTTGATTTTTTTTTTTTAATTTTTATTTATTTATGTGTATGTGGCCAGCTCAGCCCACCAGGGGGCAGGGCTACCTGGCATGTGGTGCTGGGGGATTGAACCGTGGTCCCTGTGCTTTGCTAAGCTTGTTCTAAGTAGGTGCTTTAGACCACTGAGCCATCTCGCCAGC